AAAACAAGTGATGGTCAAGCTTTATCATCTTTTTCTTTTTAAAATATATTTATTAGTTATATAATGCCTTCTATCAATGTATCCATTCATCCATACGTTATCATCAGCTGCTGGCTCTCAACATTGCAATAATACCATCACAATGAAACCACATGACTAATAGTCACTACAACCATTTAGGTCGTCTTAACGCCAAACCATTGGATCTATAACGCCTGTCATAATTCATGTATCTACATCTTTCCGACCCCGCTAACATTTTTGCATGATCACATTGATATATCGAGGTCCCTGTATCAATTTCCACATGGTCATTAAGGCACTGGATGTGTAACATGTATATTGTAGTATCATAACATCCAGCTGTCCATTTCCATCTATCACTTATTGTCCACAATCCTGGTGGTCACTCATCAGTCAGCGGTGTTTTTATGACATAAGAGATGGGAGAGTTCAGTAAATATTGATGGAGTGGGTTGTCAAATGCGTCATTTTATATCACGTGGGGTCCACATTTTAATGCCTAGTTATAGTAACTAATACTTGTCCCTACTGTCAAATCATGACGCGACGGACAGTCCCAAACTGCAATCATACTATAGAAGGTTGCATGGTATCTGGTTATAAGCTTTGAGACTATAGAAGACAAATCAAATCAGTTATTAAATTAGGCAACCCCACATACCAAGGGATCAAAGATGTCTTGTCTGGTATATCTATCATTTCTAATGGGTGTCCCGGAATTAAACATTTTCAATAGAATATAAATCAGAAATTATCTTTAACAAAAGGTTCCAGACTGTAAACGGAGTTTGTTTAGGATTCACATTTTACACGTTTCGATGTTTGTCGCTGCGTTTACAGCAAGGAAGAATTAAGGAATTTTGTCCTCGCAGTGTCTTTTGACTATCTCACTGGACAGCTTAAGGAAGACCGATCGCAATGCTGTACAATGTAATCGAGTTAAAACGACAGCACATGAAGCTCTATGAGCAGAGCTGAGAAAAGTAAACCTCTAAAAGTAGATTAAATGTACCAACATGTCACTGTATGATAGAAGGCTCCCAAAACAAACGTTATCGTGTCCGACAGCATAGAGAAAGCATTTGGAACCCTCTTCATCACGAGCTTTGTCCTTAAATAGTTCGGATTTTCAAGGTTTTGAACTGCCGTAAATTTGCCAGAATCTCTACATTTCCATTAATGACATTTCACAATATGCCCTCTCGGTTCACTGCGTTATCTGGCCTACTGTTGCTATCACTTTATAGGGTTATGTATATCTAGTACTATTCGTACAAAGCGTAAATAGTTCCTGATACGCCATACACTTACCGAACCATATAATTGTTACGTACTTTTTCACTCATCCGAGGTTGTCACTTCCACTGACAAGAAAAATCCATTTTACAGATATCACTAAGCACGTTAAAGAGAGGGGAAAAAATCTTTAAATAAATCTCAGTACACCACATGCCCCAAACTGTGGCAGCATGGTTGTGTGTTTTCGGCGTTTTTCCTTTTTAAGCAGATGACTATTGCACGTGGGCACCTTGGCATTGCCAACAGCTGCCATTCTATATGACAATCGTTTGAGCTAGCTGGCATCTGCCATTCAGTCCGACGTGTACATAAACTGACACGAATATGTAGCCCTACACACACACCTTACGAACCTCGACGTCGTCCTGTTACTATTATTCTTTAAATAAGGACTGCTTCATTCATCGTTAAATCGGTTTAAATGTATTTTTTCTTAACTTCTGTATTGTTTGGGTAAGTATGATTTCGATACGTAGACTCAAACATGTATCTATTACATTGGATAGGCATTCCTTACAAGTTTTACCTAACCAGAGTTCATCTAGTATCTTTCCTGGCATTTTAAACGCCGAAAAACCGCACAATCATAATTCTTTGTTACACATTTATCTCCGAAGAATGCAACTTTTTACACATACTTTTCAAGGTATGAATCTGGTGATCTTGAGAGGAGGTGATACAACGAGTAAGCAAACAGAACATAAATCGTGATAAATGTCAGAATCTGGATGGTACAGATGTTGCAGCTCGTTTTTTTTTTTAAATTATTCCATAATTTTCGATACTAAATGATTTAAAATACTGAGAAGTACATGTGTATTTTCTGAACTGGGTCATTATGCAAATGTATCAAAACAAGACGTCATTTATTCAACGATATGAATAGATTATATTCCAAGGTGAACTTAAAGTTACCTTCAGTCACCGAAACATCACTAATACCGGAAGGAATCTTTCACTTGATGTTTCACCTTGTCCGTAATACATCCCATCCTTATTACTCCCAACAACAAAAAGTTACCCGCGTGTTTGTTTTTTGCGTATACTATATAGGGAGCCGGGTTAACGTTGTCGCGTGCAAAAATTAAAAGTCGTACACCAGATATACAAATGTCACTTTTTCCACAGAAGTTCACATCTAATTTGTTTATGACAATGACCAATTTTGCACGTGAAATCCTTTCGTTAAAACTGAGTGACCAGCGACGAAATCGGGTCGCATGACTCTTCATTCCTGTTCATGTGTATACCTTAAATCGAGGTCAGACAGACTTGGAAACTTAAGTTACTTGCAACACGTAACCTTTTTCAGGCTGGGTTAGGTCTGATAATCTTTAACGTCCTAACAGCTATGGTCATGTTCGTATAAACCTCCTTATGATAGAGCAGAACTGACTGCGAATTTATAGTACGATCACACTGAAATATACTGACGAAGTCCCCGTGTAGGACACCCCTAGTCTAGAAGTCTAAGCCAGAAAACAGAACCTAAACTCTTCCTCACAGTGGCAAACGTTCAAAGGTAAAACGATTGTCAAGGGAGACATTCCGAAAACAAAGTTGTTCAGAAACGAGGGAAAATATTCTGTCGCCTATTTGTCGCCTCTTACGATCATGCAATGGGAGTAGAAGGTACAATTCGCATGCCCTTCCTGCAAATCAGATGTAGAATCCTCCGTCAAATTTGTCAGTCTATTGAATACAACAGGTTTATATTCGATCATTCATTTTATCTCAAAAACGTTCAGAAATCATTACCTGTCCACAGTATCCATCAATACGTTCTCTGTTGTCTTCTCTGCGTTCTACCTTCTAATCGAACGTTTATTCAGTGATGGGTTACCCACTTTATATTGTCAATGTTAACATACCATGTGGACAAACAGAAACTCACTTTATTATTAGTATATTATGAATCTGATTCGTCTAAATGTCACTTATCACCTATCAATGTTTCCTTTCAGTGTCGTTTGAAGCTTCGGGCATAAATCAGAGCAGAGACTGAAAACATGTTCTCGAAACTGTATATTTATCTGAATTTATATTATATTATTAATATTAATTCTAATTATTAAAATGCTTTTCCACTAAAATCAGATCATGAAGAAGACTAAATGTTATGTTGTTTCTCGATATGTCACTAGATATTTTTTGACTTAGGAATCTTGCTGTTTAAACATTACCTTTTCAATATTTTTGCAAGGTTCAAAATATACAACGTTAACAACTAAAATTAATGATTAAAGTATTCTTATGTGTCAATGTTATTAACAGTTTATCACATTATCGTAAAATGTTGTCACACTTGCCTGGAACAGATATTGATTTGATATTAACGACAGGCCATTCCTTCTTCGGAATATCTCTATCATTCGTCAATACGGTTAAAGTGCTAGCCTCTATCTGTGATTAATATCTCCCACACATAAAAACAGATACAACACATGTCTTTGGATGCATAGTTTTCGATTAATTATATCAAAATGTTGACTTGATGCCATATTGTGTACACCCAAGGTCAGATCATACCAAGGAAATGCACACGTGCTTTGGTGGCGATGGAACACGTGCACTTTTATCCGTGTTGGTATATATTAGTTTATCCTGCCAACAGAGTGTACTTTAGCGAATACTTTGAGATGTTAACTCCATATTTCCTCCACAAATTAATTCAAACGTAAACGCTGCCAGCGCGTGGTGGTCAGACGATTTGTACGAGCGTACCTCATTTTGAAAACTACTTCCGGCCTCTCATTACGAGAGCACACACAACTATACAGACATTGCTGAAATACTGGATCGTGTCAGCTGGCCTCGACCCAATATCATGGGATTTAATTAACGACGAAATGAACGGGAGCGGACCAAATGTTACCCCTGCACACAAAGCAACTATTCAGCATTGTACATTGTATATTTCACATAGTTCTGAATCTGCCATTGATACTGAAGAGATATTTTCAGACGTAAATTCCCGTTTAGGACATGGTATGATATACTTATGTCGAGATGAACTGAATGTATATACTGTTCAATTGACCATTTACGACCACCTTTATATTTATTTGCTTTTTTAATTGGCATGTTTGGTGAATGCATCTAGATTGTTCATTCCTTAACCAGATTATTGTCGATACTTAATAAAGACGTTGCTAAAATATCACTTTCATATAGACGATATAAATGAAAGTATCTTTTCATTAATTCCCAAGTGTTGCGATCTTTTATCTTTACTTCAAAAATGAAAGTGTCTGTCCTGAAGACATTATTATTATGTCGGTAATTCTATATTTTACAAGATTATCGTTCTATGAATTCTCTAGGAACACAACTCTTGAACAGCTTATAATATGTCGACAGATTCCAAAACTTATGATTAAAGGTATAGCGGATGGGCGAGACGAGTTAGCGCCGACAAGTAATGACGATTTGGTGGAATTGACAAATACTATGAATGAAAACTTTAATATCTATTGCAATATCTATATTGAAATATCCATATTACACTTTTGTTGAATTCGTTACATATTGCAAATAAGATTTACTCATTCATATTCATATTAAATGCTTTTGTATCGTTCCTGTTTTTCAGTTCAAATAGAGGTAATTAAGAAATGTAAGATAACATTTGACAGAAACCCACTGAAACTCATTCATTCATCTTATTTTATTTACAGGGTGACTATGAAGTAGTATTCAAGGTTTTGGATGAGAACACAGAGGAACTCGGTTGTCTTAATCTTCGATTTACTATCAAACGCAGACACAAAGGATGGTTATTCAAGATCTAGCAGGGCGAAAGAAATCCTGTACCTAGTGTATCAAGATAGGATTGAAGTTAAACGCCACTTATAAGGAATCGTAAGGTCCATAAATGCATTATTTTCATTATTGAATATCTTTTCTTATCAGTTGTGTCATCTGTAATATCGACACTACCGGAATAGCCATAACATGACACTTCCGGTAAACAATAACTCTACTGAACCTGTGGTGTTGCTTTCAGAAGCTTTTGGGTCTGGTCTGGCTTGGTGTCAAAAATATTCGTTCGTGTCTTATTTTACGATACATAGTGACTTTATATGGTTACCAGTAGTTATCACATATTCAGTTTACACATTGGCGATGAAAAATATCCGAGGGATTACAAGATGAAGAAAGAGCTGAATAAAAAATCTCATCCGGAAGATTTTCGGTTTTCTTCCTGCCAGTCCAAATCCCTACCTCCGTGACCGTTACATTGTACAGTCGGACTCATAACCGAAAGTGACATGTCTATTCAAAATGGCAATACTGTTTTGTGACAACGCATGTTTAAAAGGAAAGAGAAAAAACTTACATGACATGATTGATTATTCATGAAGAGAGTCGTTGCCATTGGTCAGATTCTACTGTATCTGATTGGTTATTAACGACGAGAGTCGTTGCCATTGGTCAGATTCTACTGTATCTGATTGGTTATTCACGACGAGAGTCGTTGCCATTGGTCAGAATCTACTGTATCTGATTGATTATTCACTAAGTGGCATTGACCTTGGTCAGAATCGTCTGAGTCTGATGCGTTATCCATGTTGAGAGTCGGTGCTGGTTAGTTCTCAATGGATAGAATCACCAGTGCCACTGGACAGAAGCTATGGGATCAGCATTAGAAATGGCAAACAACGAAATCGAATCGGATTGATTGTTCGCATATTTTAATGGTGTCGCAGGCATTAATCTCATTCCTAAGTTGGTATTTGTCTAGTATTTATTATTTGTAGTTTGTGTGTAAACACATCACCATACTTAGATATCTAATGAAAACGAAATCCAGTGATACGAATATGTATATATAATGTTGCATTTGTAAAACTTCATAATCAAAATGGCTAAGATTACCTTTTACTCCATTGATTTATGGAAGTAACAATGAACTTTACATAAATATTTGAATTTCAGAGTTTCTGTGGTGCTTTATTTTTGAAACCTCAATGTACACAACAAATTACACAAGTTCCTTAACCCTGCCAATGATAATGATAGAAGTGCATTTTACTTCATTTATCAGATGATTGGATAATGCCAAGTACGTGGTTATTGTAAACATGACGTCATTTTAAAGATAATGAAAAACAAGGCCAGTCCTGCATTTCATCGTAATCTAACTGATATTTGACAACAGAGATGTTGATTCCTCACAGTATTCAGTATTTCTTTATTATCTTAATTTGTTATTACAAAATTTCACTTTTTTTCAATTTAACTAAAGTATATGTATTATATTTGTAGTTAAATAAACGTTCGTCTTTTTAAAAAAATTACACTAAGAACCTGGTTTATTGTCTTTATATATAAATGTGCAAAGCAAAAATAGGTTAGAAAGCATATGAGTCAAAGGGAGATAACTCCAACACACGAAAATACAACGTAGAAAACTCCCTTAATGCAGAAGTAAATTGTACAAAGTATAAAGTATCATACGACATTGATGTTGAGATATTTCTTTCAGGCTTGCTGCTCATGCATATGTTTTTGCCGTTAAGATTTCATTTATACATGTACCATAACCCTATCGTGCATGGAGACATTTCCGTTCCGCTTCGCTGTTGTGGAAATGAAACATTTTTGGTAACGAATTCGTATAAAAATGCTATTTCAATAAATTCAAGACGCATACTTATCTAAAACTTTCTTTTTTTTAACGTATCTCAAAGTACACCTTCCTGGTATAGAACAGTAAGGTACTAAACTAAATCTTATCTAGTTTTAAGGCAGTTTTAAAGCGAATCGAGCTTATTTCGTTTTCGTTTTTGAGTTTATATTTTCTTTTTTAATGATATGAAAGAGACCAATCAAGTCTGCATGAAGGTTGACACAATATTCTGCCCTATTACGATTACAAAAAATGGTAATAAAAAAATCTGATCTTGTCATCGATACAATTATAAATCTAATACATGTTTTTTGAGTGATGTCCGGGTTCGTGCCACTACGCTTAGTATGTGTGTTCAATACCACTATCATGCTGTGAGTGTAGTATGTGTCCGAGTTGGTTATTCAATAAAACTGTACTATATGTTCCTATTGTCTAGTAGAAATCGACCATAGAAACTTTTGTTTTTGTGATACTGTTAACTGTATATTGTAGAATATATGAATATGTTTATTTGAACATTAAAATCGAAAACATAGGGAAGAAAACTGTGCGTTTTATTATTTTTTTTAAATCTTTGCACACATTGCTTTACTTAGATTTGAGTCTATATTTCACATTCTCTGTTTACGTCTTTTAATCAATTTCGAAGGAAATTCTCTGCTACAGCGCAAGTCTATAAAAGTACCAAGATTGATGATTTTTTAAGTATTCAACGATTGCAGTGGTATTCTTGCCCTGTTGCAGGGAAGCATGTAACAATATAACCAATTGGCAAACGCGGAATATTATTTCTACCAGAACAGATGGGTATTGTTCAACTCTCAAGGCATTAATAATTACAACTATTGTATAAATATACATGCAATACCACAAGTGTTGTAACATTTAAGCATGTTTTGATTGGCTGAGGGGATGAAGTCTGACCGACAGGGTGTCTCACACACTCACGGAAATAAGGACGTGAGAAAAGTAGTTGACAAAGCTTTTATAATACTTTGATTTTTACTTAGATTTCTATCTTTACTTTCTTTTGGGATAAAAAAATTATCTTTATCCTATGGCTTTAATATCTCCATGTCGTATTGCGTAAATACAGAACAGGTCAATTCAACTTCGGGACAGCTATTTAATTTTGGTAGGAACATGTTATAGACGCTCTATTTGTTATCATATATTAAAATGTCTTTTTCTCCTCATTACAGTTCATGTGCTCTGTCACTTTGGAAAATAACTAAATCGGGTAAAAATAAATACCATATTCTACAATCACTCTTGTGTGACTTTACGTCTCCCTGCCAACGTTTGTCATAATTCCTTTCGCAAAACAACACAATGCTGTTGTATCCATTTCCTTCTTACGCTGTACAGTTTTTGCACGAAAAAATAGGAAGAGTTACAAAGGGGCATTAGCAAAAGTACAAGGACAATAAGACCTTGTGATCCTGAAAGGTAGGCGCCTTCACGGTCAATCCGAGAGAGTGTGTCATTTTGACATATGAGAACAAGATTAACAATCAAATGCATCTAAGCTCTAACTTCATATCTAACGAGAAAATGAAATATCTTCCAATGAGATTATGGTGGAGACCTTAAAACTATCCCGTAATCACGATCTATGTCGGCATATTTTATAAAACCATGATATTGGGAACAAGCCCTAGTATATCGAATCCACAGTGGCATGCAAACACCATTGGTTCGGGAAGTCAAGAAATGGATTCTTTACAAGGCGCATCGAAATCAGTGTGCATATCACACAGCTTGGTGTAAATCTGTACCATTTGATTTCGCTGCACGAAAAAAAATCGGCACAAGTGGGAGATGAAGAAGAATTTGACATGTCAATGATTTCCAATTCTGGTGGGGTTTATAAGATTGACGTATTTAGCACATGCTTTATAACAATACATTTATTTATTTATTTGTGTATTTATTTATTTCTTTATTTATTTATTTAAATACAAGACATCTTCAATATATCTAAAACTGAAACTGGTCGATATTTTTCTTCTTCATCCTTATCAAGCGCATCACAAAGGCGTCAGGCGTTACATTTTGAAACGGAACAGTGTCGGAAGGGCGGATATCGGCGGCAAATACAGGTGTTAATCTGACCTTTTTCATCTTGATAGGTGAAATGGACATTTTGAATACATATAGATTCATATTAAATTAGGTAAAAATCCACCCCTTAAGCGGCAATATATTTTCACACCTTAAACAGGTTGAGGACGTCCCGAACTACTATATAAAACGACATACGAAACAGACAGCAGTAACCAAGATAATAAGAAAGTATGTTCAAGTACAACAATGTACCCATTGGAGAGTGCATGGACAGACGGACGATCTTCAGTAAGACTATGTTAAGGGAAGCCGGTGCGACAAGCTAAATGCTATATTAACATTGCGTGATTCAAAATGTTGAATGCAAAATACTTAATATGTTAAACTTTTTGTCAAGGAGTAGACTTATTAGAAATGGAAATGATAAACAGAGCATTCAAGATTGTCTGTAGACCTAGAACAGCTGTAGAGCATTCAGCATTTCAAATTTCATGGTCTATTTTATAAAAGTACTTTACATAAAGTATTTCGCATTCAGCTTAACTCATCATACATTTCGCATTTAGCATAAAGCATCTGCCGTAACGCATCTCACATTTAAAGTAAGTATTTAATTATATAGAATGCCCCATATTTTACCCTCATAAAGACATTAAGATATATTTCTATTGACTTGAGATCATCACAATTTTTTAACGACATGGAATTCAAATTTAAGCAATTCGCATTTGGCATAAATCATTTCGCTTTTGGCATATATCATCTTGCATTTTGGCATAAAGTAATTCACACTATGTATTTTAGCATCTCGTATCTGCTTTTCATACTGTATAATTCTCCATGGTAATGTTGAAACCAATATGATTCAAATACAACGATCCAGAGGAAGCCTACATAACATTAATCACCAAGCTTAATATACTAACCAATAGGAAGGAGTTTGCAATTACAGAAATCATCTTTGTTCTGTATGTAACACATGGCTGAATGTTAAATTTCGTTATGCTCATCATTTTATATACTATGATGTACAAATGTATTAAAGGCATCTTCACGCATTTAACGTGTTAAACGTCTGGAATATAAAAACCAAGTAATTCTCATTGTCACGACTATCGCCTATATCTTCAAATCGTTCTACGTTCAGACTCTGTGTTATTTGTCGATCAAACTAAAGTGATATTCAAAGAAGCATGAAATTTTAGCGGGATGGTAGTAATGTCGATAAAACGTATTTAACGAGCTGTTATCTCTGTTAAACTTGACATTCATTGGAAAAGATTGGGAAATTACATATGAGGATCACATAAACGATTTACGTAAGGGCACACAGGGTCGGCATGCCACCCGCGTCGCCTGTATATATTTTATCATCAAATCCAGCAAAATTTCACAAATATTTCCTCACGTACATAGTGGAGTGTTTGAGCGATATATTGGAATATTTACGTAAATAAGTGGGTTGTATTTACAAACATTCTCAATCGCTTACTCGCCGCTTCATATAGCCAGAAACTAACTCGATGATGTGTCTAGATCTGCAACTTAAGGCCCGGATAGGGTCGCTCTTAGCCATAGTATCCTATGGCCCCAATACCAGACGTTAGACATTTTCTGTCAAAGTGTCTAACGTCTGGTGTTTTAGGAAAATGAGACATGACTAATTAATAAATAAGTATATACACTGTCTCGAACATACAATTGTCTATCTTTATTATGAGATTTTCAGCTTTACTTCCTTTTCAATTATGCATGCATCGACAAATAAAACTACATACACGTGGTCTTCGTTTTTGTCTATCATAAAATCGAACATGACAACGATTTACTTGTTATAGAAAAAAAATGTGTCTGCTTCACATCATGACAATCTCAGTATTTTAAAATCATATCACATTATTTATCAACTTGTTCATATGGTTATACCTGACACACTTGGATCCTAAAAATTAGAGAAAATAGTCACTAGGTCGAAATTCACCATTTTGAAATCGTTGATTTGTTGTGATTATGCATGCCTATTTTGGTTTAAATCTACCCAAGACATCCAGAATTCTACTAATGAGAAATACCAACCAGAAAACGTTGAAATTGTTTACGCTGTCAATGGAATCACGCCGTCACATATGTCATCAAAATTGAGTCTACGAAATAAATTTCTTCAAAACGTCATATAAATCGTCCCATTTCACTTATAAGTACACTTATAGATGACAAAGTATGTAAGAAGACAAACCCAAGCAATTATGTTGGAATTCATTTGATATTGAATTATATCTTACATCCGGTCAACACATCAAAGGAGCACTCCTTAATGAGTTTTACATGAAATACCTTAGATGAAGTAGCCATAGATAAAAAAGAGTGACAAAGGACTTTGAATGATAAATCTCTAGAAATCAAGGTTATATGTATGCGGATTCGTGATATAGGACCTTGGATGACAAATCTGTAGAAATCAATGTTATATGTCTGTAGAGTCAAATTATCTCGAATCACAAAATATCTCGAATAATTTCACATTTAAAGGCAGTTGAACTCTTTTATTATTGATCGATGAACACCAGAATCAATCCTGGTGTAAAAATATATTGTGTTATAACTATTACCGAGTTTATAACTTGAACACAATTACAATTGTAGATTATCCTCTCCTCACTTAGTTGAGTAAGGTTACTGAACTGTAGGAACAGTACGACTTTCTCTATTGAAAACAGAACATCAAACATTAAATGATATTGAGAGCATTGTATCGGGTGAATCTAACTGAAAAAATCGGAATCCTAAATTTTCAAGTTATGATCGAATGATGACAAAACTCACCAAACAAATAAAAATGCAAATGTGAAACACTTTCACTTTCACTGTACACTTAATGGCGCGTGTCCCTGATGAAATGTAAAGACTTACATTTGGTTGCCTTGCATTTTCTTCCGTACATTCTGTTTTTGAATTTCATAACAGTTCAACTTTCCAATATGGCGGTCGTTTTCTTGCAGCAGACGGCTAGGAACTAGGGGCAGCGTGCACGTGCCGTTTCATTTGACACGTGTCAATTTCATGGGCGGGCCTAGCACGTGGCCATGCTGCCATTTGTTGACAATGCGGATTTCAGATCTTTGTTGACAGCGACTGACAGTTTCAATTGGCGTGTACGAGATCGTTTTGACAGAAATTTAACTTCAAAAATTAAATATGATTTGCATGGTAGTAAACTTTCCAGCAAGTATTTTTTTGCTTTTCTATCTCCTTTTTGGTTTTAGTATGCGTTATGCATACATGAAGCTTTTCATTCGGGGAGTAAAGCTTGTATAATTTGCAATATTCAATCTTGTGGTTCATGTTCAAAATTTATTTTATATGCAATATATTGTGATTTATTTTGCAACATTGATAACAAGGGAAACTCATGAATTTTGTGTCGTTCACCTTGCTTTATTTAGCTGGAAGTTCTTAATTCAATGTAAAGGAAAAGGGAATTCCAAAGGTTTACATTGTTTATCTATTTCCAAATTAGACCCATTCGCCCAGCACACAATCTAATTTCTTGGTCCCATCCCTCTCATCCAAGGGGGCTGCTTACCATCATTTATACCAAATTGCCCCCCTCCCCTCCCCCCCCCCTCTTCAACCGAAGGTTCTTTGAACCAAAATTGGGACACAATCTTCACTCAAGGATGTTTCGGACGAAATATGGACAAAATTCGGATAGTGCTGCCGATGAACCTATCAGCCAAATACCATGCGCTTCTTTGCCTTTCGGTTAGTCAGAAGATGTTTAAAAGTTTAAACAAATTCAACCCATGAGCTTAGATAAGGTTCAAGGTCATTTTTTATTGCAAATTTTACCGGTGTTAATCCAATCCACCAACCAGCCAAATACCATGGCGTTTGGTTCCCAGGTTATTGAGATGTTGTTGCTGCCGGACGGTGAGCTGAAAATCTGAAACACGAATGAAATTCAAGAACAATCCAGCAAGTACTAGAATGTAAATAATGAAAGCAGACTCTAAACAATAACAAACTTTCCTAGTCAAATTCCGAAATGGCTGCATGTCATCCATTTTATTTTTCTGATCAGTCCATGAATTAAATAGTTACCACCGGAGACCAAGAGAAACCTACATACCAAATGAGTACTGAATAAGAACCGATTATTACCGTCAGTTGTTTAATTCTTATGATAAGTCCAAGAATTCAGTGTTCACCGGAAGACTAAGGGGAACGTTAAATAGGAACTTTCAGAAAAATCATCTAGAGCCTTTCAAGAAATAGCAATAACAGAATTGTTAAAGGTCCAACAACAGACCGCATATGCATGATGGTTCAAAGGACCAAAAATTGAAAAACAATCACAAAGATTTCATGTTGTTTTCTTTGTTTGATGAAAACCATGATAGTATAAGCAAGAGGTTTGTAGGACCTGAATTACAGTCAAGATTTTAATTCTTCTATGTAAAATGTTTGATTCAGGAAGAGAAGTACATTTCTGAAATTTAAGTCAATTTAACCCATTTTTGGCCCCAACCATCAGTCCCTAAGAGTCAGTCAAGGTCAACAGGTGCATCTCATCAAACTGTCAGCTTACACTAATAAAAAAAAATTCTGACCAAGTTTGAACAAATTATGCTCAAAAATGTAATTTTCCTTCATAAAATATAGTAAATTTTATCCCCTCCTAAGGGGAAATATGAGACCCAGGGGTCATGAAATTTGCAATTTTGGCAAAGCATCTGGAGGCTTTTCCATCCATGAAGAGTACCTGATTCTACCATATCTAGGATTTGAATTTTGAATTTTTGAAATTTCAATCAATTTGACAATATTTGGCCTCGCCCCTCGAGCCTTTGGGGTGGAGACCATAAAATTTACAATTTTTGTGCGCCTTAAGCAATGGAAAGGGGGGGGGGGGGTTGTAAAAATTCATTAAAATCAGTTCAAGAGTTTTACAGAAGAAGTTGAAATTGTTAAAAGTTTATGAGCACGACGCCAGACAAAGGATTGCAATAAGAAGACTACAAACAGATGACTGGCAAGGGATGACAGGCAATGGATTGATGACAGACCATATAGTATCCCTAGAGCTCACCTGGTCCGAACTAAAATAGCTAAAAAAGAAAACAACCAAACTCAATTTTGATTTCTTTACTCACAAGAGCATGTTAAGGTTTTATAAATAGACAGGATCTTCAATATTTTCATGCAAAAAACATGATAATCACATACAAAAACACAGCATTGAATGGGATCAGTACAGCAGTTGTTACAAAAATATTTCAATCTAAACTAAGTATTTTCATCTTCTACTCAGAAAGATCTCCCTTAATTCTATTAAAAATTAAAAAAACACATTGACACATTTTACACAAAAAGCACCTTAAAACAAAATAAAATAGAGTTTTATTGCTCATATTTGTCCAAACCCAATAAATTCCATAAAACAGTGTTTTTCATTTCAAAATGTAACATGATATATATACTTATTTTGGCTTCTAATAAAACACATTTGACAAGTTTTGACTTCATGCATGTATGTCTGACAGTTCTAAAAAAAACTATTATAAAACATTATAAACAAATTACAACCTATCAAAACAAGTACCTTTCGACAAAAAACAGACACTAGTAATGTAACATAACACAGAGAAACACTAAAGGTGGATTATTGCATTTCAGAATTTTTTTTAGGGTTTATAAACAAAACAATTTCTTCCAAGAATCTCTTGGATAACACTCTGAAAGTGGCAAAGGGACCCCAAAAAAATTAAATTGACTGCCATATTCTTAATTTCACATTTTCCTTTTTTCAATTTTAATGAAGTTGGACCATCTTATTAACACTAATAATAGGCCTCAGCTGTCAGGATTTTCCCTGCAACATTAAGCTGAATGTTTTGAATTCACCGCAAATATAATCTGATCTTATCCACACCAACAAAATACAATGAAAAAATCCCAGTCCACTAACAATACACATAATTAAGAATGGAAAAAGGGGCCATAACTCTTTGTGGTCAATCTCTGATTTAACAACTAAATAGGAGTAATGCTGTAACACCAATTACCAATGACATAATGACTACGTGTACAAAACACATGGTTTTCTAAATACATCATTTTCATTGCATAATATGATGACTTGCATTTAAATTTCAAACCTATTTCTGATGAACTTCATTATATTGTGGTAAAGTCAGTTTTAATTGAGACATATGTCCTTGTAAACTTGCTAAACAAAATAATAAATCACAGACTCTTTTCATCTCTCTTATTCACTGGTTTGATATTCCATAAAGGATTGGTAAGTGAAATACCTCAGGGAATGATTTACTGCAAAATTAATATTTAAATAAATAAATTCTTTGATCAAATTACTCACAACAAATACTTTTTTGTGAATTATTTCAATAAAATTACCAATGTGTGTGAATAGATAGGACTTTTATAAACAGAATCAAAGTGTATTTTATGCATGCACCTGCACAGGCTAAAAACTTGTTTTAGAATTAATGCTATGATGATGGTACAAAGTCAGTTACATCTATATATATATATATATACATGATAATGCTTTACATTCTAAATTAAGGCAGATCTGATGACAACGGTAACAAAAAATTCATCTAATACATGCAGCGTTGTAAGATAACAATCAGCATCAAATTTTACATGATATTTATCTATTTAAAAACAGTCACTCTATTTAAATTCTTTTAATTATTTTATTTTAAATTTAATAGTTTAATTCACAATGTAAGTTTGCTTCCAAGCCATCATATGTATCTATAATTTCCAATTTCCAGCCAAATATTTATGGTAACAAAAGCATAGTCAATAACTGCATATGTGGACACATCGCAAAATTTTTCTTAACAGCAATTCACCATCCAAAAAAAGGTTTTTGTTGACAAAGTTTGCCTATTATAGAGAAGTGACACAATGAAAGCACAATGAAATTCTGGGGTCAGTTGATAGCTCAGTTAACGAGGGCTTTAGCCTACATGCACATAACCTCAGGTTGCTTGGGTTCGACATTCTCTACCTGTGGCATCAGTGAGTATTTCTTAGAATGCTGAAAAATGGGCAGGTCTGTGGTAACATGGTTGTGTTCTAGCACAAGAATTTTACCCTAATTTGGCTCAGAATGGCATGCAATGGGCCTCCCCTGTATTTTTCTGTGAAGGTAATCATCAGCTACTACAAAGAGATTCCCCCCTCAAAATAACTCATGAGTCAAAAATTTTGTGATTTTCTTTTAGAATGATCATATAATATCTTGAATTAACTCAAAAATTTGCAATCTGAACTTACAAAAGATATTTTATACACATATGCCTTATCATTTCACATATTAAATTTTTGCAGTCATTTTAAGAGATTTCATCACCATACCATCTATTTGTAGTTAAATTATTTGGAACCATTATCATATATTTTGGCTGCAAGATAATGAAATCTTTAGGCAGTTTGCTTATAGCGAAATATACAGACAGTGCATTGTACCAGCATTGGAGCAAAATATCATTACAATTCTACAAAAATGGATTAAACTTTCTGTATCAAGACTTATTTGGATAACCTAAAAGAAATTCACTGTTGACTCTAACATAAAAAATCTCAGAGATATAGGATTCTTCTTCTTCTTTCTCTTTCTATTATCTTTCTCTCTCCATTCTTATCCCTCCATCTTACTTAGACTTCTTTGTCAGCTGGTACTTGCACTGACAGAGTTTTTTTTTCAAATGGCTAGTTGCTCGATGACACAAAAATAAAAAACAACATTTGATTGTTCTTTCCCATCACAGCACCTTCTTCTTGTCCTCCTCTATGCACTTGACTAGAATTCATACATAAATCTCTCCATCCCTATTTTTAAAACATTACTTGGTTCACATGACAAACTTTATACAAACTGTACATGGGGAAGTTTCTTATGGCAATCAATAACCAATAATAACTCTATACAAATTACAGATAAACACCATGATTAACAGTGTTATAAGAGTTCCTCTGTAATCCATCTGTCTCCTCCCACAAAATACTAGCCCCAACCCCTAAATGCATCAGACTCCTCCCACAAATTACAAGCCTTCTCCTTCAATCCACCAGACTCCTCCTACTCAATCTCCAGTCAATTAGGGTTCTCCAATAATTTTCTGTACTCCTCCTACAATCCACCAGACTGCTCCTAAAATTTAATAGACCTCTTCAATCCACACAGTTCTCGAACAATCTAACCGACTCTTTTTTCAATCTTTTAGACTCCTCCCACAAAATACTAGCCTCCTCCTTCAATCCACCAGTCTCCTCCTACAATTTACTTGACTCCTCCTCCTACATGCAGTGGAGTTGTTCCTTCATCTGAGTGCTTGACTGCTGCAGTGCAACAGGACATATGTTACAAAATGCTAATCCTGCTCCTGCTCTGCAATGGCAGATATCCGTCAGAGTTTTCCAGCTGTGAAAACAGAAGAAACACTTGATGAGTTATAAGTACTAACAACAATTAATCTTTCCTCATGGATGTCAGTTTGGATATCATGTTATTGTTTTTGATAAAAATTGATAAAAAAGGAACACATTTTCTGTAAAAATTAACCAGACCATCATTATACATGAACAATGTGATACATACACAATAATCAGTTTGTTTCCCAAGAATGTGACCATGTCAGTATTGTCACAAGTAAATAATATTAAAAAAAAAAAAACAAGTAAAAAATCATTGTATCTCCATGGGAAATAAATATCAGACAGCTTTTTCCCCTCATGTAGAACAGAATCTAAAAACCTGATCATACTAAAAGTAGAATATTTAACCATGTGGTATCATTATTCCTGTTAATTAATTTGATATGACACTTGCCTAAATGATTGCAACCACATTAAATGTATGAAACAGAACCAAATCTACACTCAGTCTATCCCTAAGCAAAATAAAATACTGCCAACTACCGATATCTTCAGTCAGACATTTTTTACTTTACATATACAATGAAAGGTACATTTTGTATTAGTCACAGGTGCATGTAACGAGGTTTGTTGGGGAAATCTGTATAGTAGAATACAATATTGCCCCTCATTGTCAAACAATAATACATGTCCCTGTGATATAAGTGAAACATATATGATTTTTCTAAAGTTGACTTCATCTTAGTCATTATATAATTTTCAGGTCCATATAAGACGTATACACCACAATAACAGTCCATGAAGTAGCTATAAATGTTCCAGAGTCAGTATTATCTGGGAAATTGGTTTATGAGAGAGGGAAATACAGAGATTTCAGAAAAAACATGCAGTAGGTTGGTTATGAACAACACATTCAAAATTCTACAGAATTTAATGTACAAACTCAGAACTCTCAAGTCTTGACTTGGAAGACTCTAATAGCCAAAATGATTTGAATTTATAACAAAAAACTCATAATATTGTAGCCATTTGTCCAGCACTACTTCAACATTATGATAAAAAGAAATAAAAAATTTCTTCCAAAAATATAACTTTGAACTCATTCAGTAATTGGCAACAGAAAAATGAAATCAGAATGTAACCCTGGTAAAATATTCTAGGCACAATGTACTCCTCGGCTAGAGAGAACTTCTCTTTAGCTTGATTGGTTCAGTGTCAGACTGGTAAAGCAAGGGTCTTTGGTTGGAATCCTAGTGGAGGCATGGAATTAAATAATGACCTTTGTTACGTGTACAATACAGGTAAAATTGATTCATTTTGAAGACATTTTATTAAACATGACAAGCCTAAATTATCAAATTTTAAGACACTGTATAGCTATGGTGATTTGAAGTAAAGGTCAAATCTATTAAAGCAAATACACAACAGCATGCACACAACACCAATTCCTGGCAATGATAATAATACAGAAGAGCTTAAATCACATAATCTTTAGATTTCATGTGATCTTAAAGTGAACAGATTTGAGATTTTTACAACTTCTTGACCAACTGAAATAATCAAGTTCTGTTTTTTTTCATTTTTTAATTTGTTACATCATCATACTTCTTTTTGAAATGTTAACAAATGAAATGGGTGATGAAGATTTACAAATAGGAAGTTTATTCCTAAATAAATTGTGTTGTATAGACCTTTAGCCATGGAAGAGCACATTAAGGATCAGAATGGCTAGCAACCTAGGTACAACTTTTGTTAATCTCTTGTCATATCAAGGGTGACAGGGTGTTTTAAAGAGTTATGAGGTAAAAAAATCTTATAATCAACTCTACTGTATAGTTATCACATCTGTTGACATTACGAGAATGTTCCATGTTATGTTTGAACATTGATTTGACTACATTAGACAAAAAAAAATTAACTTCACACTTTTAAAAACTGATGAAAAGTAAAGACAAGGTCAGATGATTCTAGCCTTTATCATGATTTGAGCAGATCATGATATAGCCAATATCTTAGGCCGACCAGTAGAAATTATGTTAGCTAACAACACTGGTCTTCATCACAATTGAAATAAATGTTACACTGCAGGGCGTTACCAAATCTAGCCAGCCAATCACATGATATTTAATATTTTAAGTGGCCAGGTCCCACTTGTATAAAACATCTCAACTTGAGATTTCCTCAAGTCATGATTTTCCTCAGCTAGAATCTCCTCAAAAACGGCTTGTATAAAATTTTCTCAAGGAACAGGAGGAAGTCATCTGCTAGGATGTCCTGAAATTCCTTGAGGAATTTTCATACAAGATATTTTCAAGGAGATATTAGCTGAGGAAAATCTCGACTTGAGGAAATCTCAAGTTGAGATGTTTTATACAAGTGGGGCCTGATTTTCATTTTGCTCTCAAAGCATACCTAAAATAAATTTCACTCACATGATTCTTTCATTAATGCTAATTACTTTGATTTTTGACAATCTTATTCCCATTGTAAGTCTTTCTATTGTTAATTTCTAATGGGAGAAAGGATGAATAACCAAAATTGTTTATGCTAACAGAAATATATCAGAAAATAATTCTTTAAACCTGTGTTTAATAAAAGAGAAAATGAAGTTCCAAAACATAATCATATATATAACTACATGTATGCTTCAAACTGCTATTCTACTTACAATATCAACACCACTGTAATACTGGGCTCTCAAATCAACACAACATAGACAATAATTAACTTAAGGATTCTACTTCCTTGGGCACTCAGACAGAGATCCACTGCAGATTTAATTTTCTGAAAATGTTTTCACACCAAAGTGTGTTAAATTCCACCAGGTCCATATCTGGGTCTGGCAAATTCATTTCAGGGCTATATCATCACCTTGTGAAAATACAGCTGCTTGAACTAGAATTTCTCAAGGGTGCCTTATATACTTGTCTACTTAACACACTTTTAGTATTAAACAATTAAGAATTTTTGCACACTGTGAAATAATAATCATGTATTTTTTTATTTTCATTTCCACAATTAAATATTGCAGTTTAAAAAAAAAAGTCAGTAATTCAATTTTTCTATTTAAAAGAAAATTTTTAAAAAATTAAATCTTTTCGTGGATAGTATTTTGGAGTACAAGGAAAAATCATGTTAATAGTGATATTCTACAGAGTGAAATACGACAACATGGAACTGAGAATGCAGCAAGCTAGTGGTACCTGCACCGTCATTGAGCGATCGGGTGTTGTAGCAAACCTCCAGTAAAATATCAGCACTGCAGGAGAGGTGAGTTACTCCCCCTCCCGCCTGCCTCACTGCAATACTACTTACAGGATCCCATCTGTGGGGAGGGAGGTAAAAGGGTAAGTCCAATGTTGAGGGAGGTAAAAGGATCAGTCCAAAATTCATTGTGGGGTTGATGGTCATAATAAAGATGATAATACAGAAAGACGTAATTTAGATTGCGATAAATCATTCATATTCATTGTATTGTAAATGACTTAAATGTAGTCTCCAAATTCTAGGACATTAAATTTTATTATACAAGAAATATAATTTACGTTCATGCAAATTTTAACACTATCATGTGAATGGAATGAGTTATAAGCAAAGAAATCATTCAGAACTGTCATAAGGTTTTCAAGGCTAGAAGATGATAAAATAAATACTCCAGTATAGAACAACAAGAAAGATAAGCTGAGAATTGAAGCGTGATATTTTTAAGATAACTTGAAATGCTGAATAAACTTGCTGAACAAACAATCATCTCATATACTTGTTTTTACACTTATTCTACAACCCTTAATCAACACCTGTGTATGTGTCACAATCAGATATTCAAAAGTGCGTAAAACAAATAGAAAGAAGAATTTTAAAACTTGACAGTAAGTGCTGCGGTATAACAAAATGCACCATAAATTTTGTGCACAAATTGTACCTACATCATAAGCACATTGATTCCGTTAAAATGGTTTATTAATATCACAGACAGAAAATTAAATGGAAACTTCTGTAGTTTTGGCTATAGCCACCATAGGCATGTTAAATGATTGTTGATTAAAGAGCTCATTTTTCATTTGACTCTTATTGAAATGTAACGAGACCTGACATTAACTAAGGTATAAGTTCCACTCCTCACAGAATAGAGGGTGGTGTAACCTTGGCGACAAAAATCACCTTTTATGTACATGTACATATGTATTAGATATATACATGACTGGTGCATACCGCCAAGGTATCCTGTGTAACAACCACAACACTTTGAATTATATATATTTTTCTTAAACAAAGGGATAGGAAAATCATAAGAAAATATTTTAAATGCAATTTTTCTTTCTGACAGTATCAAATTTTAAATAATCATGGTAGAGACAAGATGAAAATGTCCATTGAATGTATAATGTACAGCATCATGAACATATAAAGAGTGTCTATACACTTAGCCTGGTTATATGTGACAATTTATAAATAAAACACTTGGAGTTACTAGTGTATACAACTATTTGGTCAGTGTCTGTACACTTAGCCTGGTCACTGTGTGACACTTGGCTGTACTCTAATATAGAAAATAAAAAACCCTATCTATCTAACACTGATTCAGGAGTCATTTCCAAATCTATATCCACTGTGATAGATAGATTGGTACATCATGTGCACAGATGAGTGAGAGGAAATTTCCTCAAGCTTTCCTATTGTGCATACATCATGCATACACCTTGTAACATTGTGCAAACCAACAACTGTGTACCAGTCTTTTATCATGATTTAAAAGCTTAATTCAAATAAATATGAATCATGCTTGCATTACAGGTCTGTGGTCTTTTCATTCGTAAAAAGGTGTTTTATTATTGATTGTTGGAGTTTGAATCCCTCGAAAACCTATGCAAAAAGTGATTAATCCTACAAAAGCGTGTAAAAAAAGATAAAAAAATGGTCAGTGCTCCTTCAAAAACATTTCATTTATCACATTAAATATTAAAAGTTAAAGTCAGTCTTGTTTATTACTTGGTATATCTTTCAAAAACATTTTGATATTTTGAGAAAGTAAAACAATTTTTTTAGATAATTGTCATGTCTGGAAAAACATTTACTAAATTTGATAATTCTATTATAAAAATATACCAACTTTAATGAAGATAATGAACATAACTATTCTAACAAAGGTTAGATATGTAACTTTCATAAATATATAGAGTATAAAATGGTGACATCAAACTGACCCAAGGGCTATAACTCCCATTAAATCTTACCAACAATCAGCAGTACAGATTAAGTACATACATCTGTCAATTTTTATAAAAACTTGAGACAATTCACCTTTGATAGATTTTCATAGACTAAAATTGAATATTCAAATGCCCTAAGGAAGCAGTCTCTCCCAGCTCAGATCTTTTAAAGAGACCAAATTTTTCATACGCCATTTGAAAATTAGATATAAACTATACAGTTGGACATCATTTTAAAAGTACGCGAGACATCAACATTCTAATTTATGAATCAAAGCAGTTAAAATACATAAAATAGGTATCACTACATGTCAGGTGAAATGATTCTAAAATCATTCAAGCATTACTGAAGTGAACGTTTTACAAATTGTTCTATGGATTAATGACATTGAAAAGAAACCCAGCTATCTATTCTATATACCTGTCTGTGAGTGGATCATAGGCCTCCACAGAGCTGAGATAGTTAGTGCCATCGTGTCCTCCCACAGCGTATAGTCGCCCACCCATAGTTCCTACGCCAACTCCTCCGCGACAACAGGACATGCTTGACACAGTGGTCCATTGATCTGACCTTGGATCATACTGCTCACAAGAATCCAGTGGTGCATTGTCATCAAACCCTCCTAAAATGGCAAGGACACAAAATTTAATATTTAAGTACAAAAATAAAACACTTCAGGACAAAATTACAACACTTCACGACAGAAAAATAATACTTCAATAAATTAATTAAATTCTTTCATTTCGCGGAATCTATACCTTCTGTGATTTATTTATCACAAGCATTTGATCAACAACAGCATGTACTTCTTTAAACCAGATAAATTCTGTGTTGCACAAAGTCACACTTATCTATGAAAGAGTATTCCTTTCTTAAGTACCAGACATGCTTGGTAATAACTAACCTTACTTACCTACAACATGAATGTATAAATCCAGGATATCCACCCTTACTTACCTACAACATGAATGTATCCATCCAGCCAGGATGTTCACCCTTACTTACCTACAACATGAATGTATCCATCCAGCCAGGATGTTCACCCTTACTTACCTACAACATGAATGTATAAATCCAGGATATCCACCTTTACTTACCTACAACATAAATGTATCCATCTAGCCAGGATGTTCACCCTTACTTACCTACAACATGAATGTATAAATCCAGGATATCCACCTTTACTTACCTACAACATAAATGTATCCATCTAGCCAGGATGTTCACCCTTACTTACCTACAACATGAATGTATAAATCCAGGATATCCACCTTTACTTACCTACAACATAAATGTATCCATCTAGCCAGGATGTTCACCCTTACTTACCTACAACATGAATGTATCCATCCAGCCAGGATGTTCACCCTTACTTACCTACAACATGAATGTATCCATCCAGCCAGGATGTTCACCCTTACTTACCTACAACATAAATGTATCCATCTAGCCAGGATGTTCACCCTTACTTACCTACAACATGAATGTATAAATCCAGGATATCCACCTTTACTTACCTACAACATAAATGTATCCATCTAGCCAGGATGTTCACCCTTACTTACCTACAACATAAATGTATCCATCCAGCCAGGATGTTCACCCTTACTTACCTACAACATGAATGTATCCATCCAGCCAGGATGTTCACCCTTACTTACCTACAACATAAATGTATCCATCTAGCCAGGATGTTCACCCTTACTTACCTACAACATGAATGTATAAATCCAGGATATCCACCTTTACTTACCTACAACATAAATGTATCCATCCAGGACAGCCACCCCTGCTCCTGCTCTGTGCCGATTCATGGATGCAATAAATGACCATTTATTAATGAAAGGGTTATACATCTCGCACTTGTCAAGGGAGGAAACTCCGTCATTACCACCAACAGCATACAGACAACCCTGTAATAATTTTACACAGAAGATATGAAAAAAGTGTCTTAGGTCGTACAAAATGTATAATCATTTGCTGTAAATCAGTCAAATCCTGTATATCATTTACACCTTAAATCAAGAAAAAAACATCTATATATCTTGTGTAGCTATTTACTTTCATTTTTCTAACTAGGACTCTTTAACATTTTCAAATAAATATTTACTCAACTAAAGACTGCCAGATAACAATAAACAATGGGCAGGAGTGGGGTGGGGGCAGAATGTCAATCATAAATACTGAAGACAAAGTAAGGTCACCATGATTTAGGATTGACAAATAATTATGATACACATTTTATCCACTAAGTCAAATTTGAAATTTTGAACACATACATCATGATGTCCTATGTGTGACTTGTGAATGTTATCAAGCTGATAATGACACAAACTATTGTAAAACAAAAAACACATTGAATGTGTAAGCTTCTTAAAAACATTGGAGACAATGATCAAATTAAATCTATGCATACTGATTATTACAAACAGATATCAAAGATTTATTTCCTCCCCCCGAGATATTCTACCACTAGTAAAAGAATAGGATTCTACAAGGATACATTTATTACCTGAGAGATACATATTTAATCATCTTCATCATATGTGAAGAACACTTACATTCAATGCTGCTACACCTACTCCACCACGAGGAGTATTCATGGATGCTACAAATGTCCAAGTGTCACAGCCTTGGTCGAATCTCTCCACAGTGTTAAAACAGGCAGAATCGTCCAACCCTCCAACAGCATAGATCGGGCCTCCTAGACAGGCCAGGGCAATGCCACGCCTGTATTAAACACGTACAGCAGTTATACACTATGACTTACTGAATAATGCTAGAGTGCATATACAAGGGGAGGCAACTCTACAACAAGAAATAACTTCAAAACAATTTTCAATTAATATGCATCGATTTAACTTTACTTTCAATCTAAGTGTCATTATATAATTCTGAACATTAAAACAAAATTAGTTACTGAGGATTTCAACATCTGATTTAGTTTAAAGCTTCATTCTGTAAATGAAATTGGAGTTCATTTTAATCACCTCCAGTTTGAGCTTTGCCACTCTCAACAGTTATGAGTACACACTTACCGAGGAGTAGACATGGGTGCAATACTAGTCCAGGTGTTAGATTTAGGATCAAACACTTCCCCAGAATTTAGATGTTTGGTACCATCATGTCCTCCAACAGCATATAGTAGATCTGATCACAGAGGGAATGAATGAGACTTTACATATCTGATGCTTGGGCTTTGTGGATTTTATTTTTTTGTTTATTTTTAAGGGAGGGGAGCAGTGTTGGTAGTTGGTGACTTTTTGCATGACAATGGCAGAAATAAAATGTAGTATTTGGTAGTAAATCTGTAGACATGGACTTGTTATCTAACAGACTGTAAATATCGTAGTTTCCTAGCATTAAGAGGTCTCCTTTTAATACTTCGTGAATTAACTTCATTAATCTGGAAAATCTTTTGAAAAATGCATGAGACAATGGTTTAATAATATACCAGAACTACAACATGGCTCACTACTCAGATAACCACTTTTCCACTAATAATAATTTCAGCAAAAACTTGCACCTTATGCTCAACAAAACAAGCAAGGACAGATGATAAATCAATATGTCATTTTCTTTAAGCTACAGTTTTGATTAGAAGACTTTAATTCTGGATATTCTGTATCATCAATATTTTACCCAAGAATATATACCTTTATCACATTTTTCCAATTATCTTAATGACACTTGTTATGATATGGTTAATATCTACCTGAAGCACAACACACGCCAACATGGCGCCGCCTAGTGTTCATCTCAGATACCTGGAACCACCTGTTCTTCCGATAATCATAGCATTCAATACTTTTAAAAGGATCACCAGAGGCTCCTCTTCCGCCGACACAGAATAGAACACCTGGTAAATATAAACACAGGACAGCTTTAATACACAGGACTTAATATTTCTTACTTTACAGATATGTCTACAATACATGTTAGTTCACCATACTGAAGCATAACTTTTTCATACAGTTATACAATCATCCATATATTATTGTAAAGAAGGTATTCCTACCTCACTAGCAATTAATTTAAGTTTACCTAAAATTCAACAAATATAGAAGCTGTTTTACAGAAAGATAATTGATTGAAAATGTGAATAACAAAATGCCACAATTTTGAATAATAAATGAAAGCAAAGTTGAGCACCTCTTGGAAAAAGCATGGGTTCTCCAAAGTCTAAAATATGGCTTAATTCAAGAAAAATTCATCAGTATTCAGATTGATTAATATTGGACTGATACTTTTTGTAATGAATAATCAACACAAAAAAGGAAAGGATTCATATCTAGTCTAAATTCACAAGAACAAAGCAAAGTTTACTTTCATCATTAAAACAGTTTAACATATATAGTATACTACCTGCATAACTTTTCCTTGGCCGTGTCCTTTCAGAGATTTTGATATCTGTGAGCAAGTTGGCAACAGACATTTTATAGTTCTTTGCTTCATCTAGAAGGTCACGACATTCAAGGTCATGTTTCACTAGTTCTTCTGTAGCAACATGTTTCTGTAGGTATGATAGACTTAGTAATGGCAGTTTAAGGTGAGACAAAAGTTCTGCCAAATGTTTTTTACGATTTTCAGAGTCTTTTTTCACCCATCTTATCACCGATTCATAGGCCTCGTTTTCACTGCTGACATTGAGGTCAGGAGAAGACATGATAGAACATATAAGCCTCACTGAGATATTTTTGAACTCTTCAGTTTCTATGACATCCAGAAAATTTTCAAGAATATAATCATCAGCCATTTTCATTAATTCTGTTCTGTTATGTTGTTCAGCAAAGTTGTGAACACCAATACAGTTTGTTGGATGAAGATGCTTTTTCATGAATTCGCAGCAAGCTTTAGCAACAGTTTCCATCTGCAGTATGGAAGCAGCATACAAAATTGGCTGAACAGTATCTACACTAAGATGAATTTTTGATGTATATGCAAACTTTATCAGCTTTTCCATCGCACTTTCATCGATGTCATGTATTGTTATAGTTTCTTGTCGACTCTCTGACATCTCCGACATAAACATGATACGAAAATATTGACTGACACAAGCTAAAACCATCCTATGGCATCGAAAAGATTTTTCTCCAACTTTGATTTCTACATCACATAACTGACCTTTCTCATAGAATTCTAAAAAGGTTCTAAAGCTATGCTTATAGTGACTTTTGTACTCAAAGTCTTGTGTTAAAGCTGACTCAATATTCAAATGTTCTATCGTCGCCATTTTTTTCAGATTTCCGTACGATTTAGATTTTGAAACTTTGTGCTTGACAGGACTTTCTTCTTTAGCTACATTTACAGGTCTGAAGCTCGGCAGTTGATGTGTGGCAGGTTTAGGGGGCACAGGGGGTGTAATACTACTTGGCAAGCTATCACTCCTCTGAGGCAAGGGAGGTGCGCCGGGCATTTCTAGGGCTGTTCTCGGCTCCTAGTGTCCCTCTCCGTATTCCCAGCCACCGTTGAAGTATGTAACATATTTTTCATATCAGTCTTGTTTTCACATCCTAAAATAAATAACAAATATGAAATAATAAATAAAAAGTTCAACTGTATGTGTATCATAATATGATCGTGCACAAGCTCTAAAACTTTTCATCATGGGCTCTACGTACATGTATCTATTTCTGGTTTTTGATGCGAACTATAATGAATGTTTACTTGTTAACACACAATACATATGAATTAAGATTTATAGGATCTTAACTGAAATTTTAGATTTACTGGTTTAATAATATCTCATCTGAAATGAAAACAAATCGAGGAAAAATTTTATCAAACGTCTTTGTCCATGTTATGACATCAAAATCAATTGCTAACAATTACAGCAGAGCTAATCAAAACCACACCAGGAACTTATTGTACAGCCAGTGACACATTTATTTATTTGTTTATTTACTTACTGGGGTCATTTCCCCATGAACAGCCACAACATTTTGATGCGAGGCCTTCGTGTAGTAGCTAGTGGCTATCTCACCTCACTGAAAAACATACAGGTGTGCAGTTGCATGTCATCCAGAACATGTTGCCAGAGAACTGATGCTCATCAGTTAAACAACCCTTAGAGATAGGATGAGCCACTGAGATTGAAAATTTGTAAGCAACCAACCAACCTATCCAGAACATTAAAGGTATAGTGCACACAGCCAGTGAATGTCATCACAGACCGGGCAGTTACTGAGGTTCCTGAGAAACACACAAAACAGTGAACCTGACGCACCTCATATCTTTACTGGAGACTACATTTTAACAACACTTTACCTACTGAGATCTTGAGCAAGTTAAAATCTAGCTTGTTGCATGTACCGTAGTTGTAGCTGTACACGCAACTGCGTATTGGCAATGTTTGAGGTAAGACAGAGAATGGAGTTTCTTCTCCATCAAGGTCTTCACTAAGACCTCACATGCACTCTGTATCCAATAACAAGCTTATCAGATAGTGTCGTAAAACTATACAGTTCAGACAAAAAGGACTAGGACATTGTGTTAAGTTAATATAGTAAGTTTAAAGAATATATTTCAGCAAATTCTTGCGAATACATGTTCTTTGTGATTTATCTGAGAGTGTAATCGTTAAGAGGAATTCTTTGGTATTTCCTGTATGTGAGCAGAATGTGCCTTCCTGGTCCTGTTCGTCTATTTTTAGATACCAGAGTATCTGTGCCAGATGTGGCATGACTGAACTTCAACAACAAAAACAACATGTTTTGATAGATATCATTGGGACGAAACCAATATTTTCTATCATATACAGTCAGTTTTAAACACAATTCTATATGGAAGAGTCATATGTACTTACATTTCACCTTCCTGCACAATATTCGATAGAAACTTCGTCTGTAGAGTGTGTGGGTTATCAGTCAGTCGAAATCAGCATCATGCACCTGTCAGCCTGGGGAAGTCTAATAAATGGGGAAAGGAGGCGGAGCCGGATATCGGTTATAGTACGGACTAACCAGGGGAGGTCACTCGTCTGCGGAATTTGGCCAATGTAAGACGATAACTCTCAACTACACGAAATTACTTTTGTGACATTCAAATTGATCAATTACAGACATCATATTGCGAGATCACTTATTTTTTTACACGAGTCGTGTGTTTTCGACTGGTGTACCCCTAGATGTAATTGTATTGCGTTCCTGGCTGGGGTACATGTATTATAGTTTTCCAATCTGGTCGTTTCTTGTTTGCAATGATTCGGAGGAATATAATTTCCTGTATTCTGCAAACATCTACACAATGTATGATTGCATAACAAATACTTAGTAAACGTACATATTCTTACTAATCTTCATCAAATAACACGATCTGCTGTTAATAAAGTGGTTTAGCAACAATCCACCGGAATAAAAAATAAAAGATACATTAGAATATAAAACAAGAATAAACCAGCGTAGAAAAATAAAGCAACAACATAAAACAAAAAACCACCAACATAGAAAAAAGGAATACAACAGCATAGAAGCAAGAATACACTAGCACAGAGACAAGAATATAACATCATAGAGACAAGAATACAACAGCATAGAAACAAGAATACAACAGCATAGAGACAAGAATACAACAGCATAGAGACAAGAATACAACAGCATAGAGACAAGAATACAACAGCATAGAGACAAGAATATACTAGCATAGAGACAAGAATACAACAGCATAGAGACAAGAATACACCAGCATAGAAACTAGAATACACTAGCATAGAGACAAGAATACAACAGCATAGAGACAAGAATACATTAGCATAGAGACAAGAAAAAAGAATACACCAGCATTGAGACAAGAATACAACAGCATAGAGACAAGAATACAACAGCATAGAAACAAGAATACACCAGCATAGAAACAAGAATACACCAGCATGGAAACAAGAATACAACAGCATAGAAACAAGAATACACCAGCATAGAGACAAGAATACAACAGCATAGAGACAAGAATACACCAGCATAGAAACTAGAATACACTAGCATAGAGACTAGAATACAACAGCATAGAGACAAGAATACATTAGCATAGAGACAAGAAAAAAGAATACACAGCATAGAGACAAGAATACAACACCATAGAGATAAGAATACATTAGCATAGAGACAAGAATACACCAGCATAGAAACTAGAATACACCAGCATAGAGACAAGAATACAACAGCATAGAGACAAGAATACATTAGCATAGAGACAAGAAAAAAGAATACACCAGCATAGAGACAAGAATACACCAGCATAGAAACAAGAATACACCAGCATAGAAACAAGAATATACTAGCACAGAGACAAGAATACACCAGCATAGAAACAAGAATATACTAGCATAGAGACAGGAATACACGAGCATAGAGACAAGAATACAACAGCATAGGAACAAGAATACAACAGCATAGAAACAAGAATATACTAGCATAGAGGCAAGAATACAACAGCAAAGAGGCAAGAATACAACAGCATAGAAAGAAGAATACAGCAGCATAGAGACAGGAAAACAACATCATAGAGACAAGAATACACAGGCATAGAGACAAGAATACAACAGCATAGAGACAAGAATACAACAGCATAGAGCCAAGAATACACCAGCATAGAAACAAGAATATACTAGCATAGAGACAAGAATATACCAGCATAGAAACAAGAATACACCAGCATAGAGACAAGAATACAACAACACAGAGACAAGAATACACCAGCATAGAGACAAGAATACACCAGCATAGAGGCAAGAATACCACAACATAGAGGCAAGAATACAACAGCATAGAGACAAGAACACATCAGCATAGAAACAAGAATATACTAGCATAGAGACAAGAATATACCAGCATAGAAACAAGAATACACCAGCATAGAGACAAGAATACAACAGCATAGAGGCAAGAATACAACAGCATAGAGACAAGAATACAACAGCATAGAAACAAGAATACACTGGCATAGAGACAAGAAAAAAGAATACATCAGCATGGAAACAAGAATACACCAGCATAGAGGCAAGAATACAACAGCATAGATACAATAATATAACAACAAGTTTTTTTTTTCTATAAAGCTATACGACGTTTTTACGTGGTCATACGTGGAACTGTTCTTTTTTTTAGAGGGAGGGGTATTCTGAATACGTACATACGCATTTCTACATTTTGGCATTACACTGACGAACGGTAACGTGATTTTAGGGTAAATATATTGGCTACAGTACCACATGTGTCAAATACACTCTACAATTGTATAGATAAGGGCGGAAAGAGTGCTGTTCTAAATCTGTGATCTGAAGCACGTGTGAAATGTACTGCATTGAAAACCTAACCCTCAACCCTAACCCCTATCGACCAAACTTGCTTTTCATAGACCAACTACCCGGATGTGACTATACTGTACAGTTATTTAATTTCGCAAGGCTAAAACTTTGTGGTTGAAACAGTATGGACTTGTTCACATGTATCAATTTCACGCTAGTCGATCAACTGGTGTCCATGAAAAGCTGCAGGCGTGACAGATATTTTCTGAAATAGAATGGTTCACTGCATTTGTTCGGCTGCAATTGTCGATTTTATTGTGATAAGTATACTCCAACACTGGAGTTTTCTATATATTTGTTGGATATTTCATCGCAAACGACGGCCGAGTTTTAGTTGAGGATTCCAGTTCTATCTCTTTTTAAAGATATAGTGATTAATAAAAACAAATGTTGTTCAGGCTATCTTTAATCATACATAGAATATAATGTTAGCTAAATTCAAACACCAAGTGCAAATGATTAACAGTACTACCCTCTCTAAGTGAAACAAGAGGCATAATTACAGGTAATTGGATGGTGCTATAGTAACATATATCTTGTAATAATGTTCAAGTGCAAATTAGACTTTTAATATAAAGACAAAAAATACTTATATTTATTACAAATCATGTGACTACTAAAATATTTTATCATGACCAGGTCTTCGTGTTTATTCCTTTCCGCTAAAGACTTGAGCAACTAAACTCTTCAGTCACACTTAGCTATATTTTCTGATCATGTGCAGCAATGTTTGTATGGCATGTCACACATCTGAACGTTACAGACTTCAGATTTGGAATAAGAATGATTTATTTCAAATAATTACAACGTTGAAAAGAGAAAACAAATTAAAGTCTACTCCGTCCATTGTACTTGTTGAATATTTCATGATTTGCATATTCTACAGAATGGTGTTGCCTCAAAAAAAGAAATTTCAGTCTGCTTGAATCCACGGCATGAACGAACAAAATAGAACACCAACATGGTACAGAGTCAGCGGGTTCTGAGTAAACCACCAATGAACACAGACATGTCAACAGAACCTTAATTAAAAGAGATATCTGATGAAACCAGAGCAAACCACGAACAAAAGAAAAAAATATACAGTACTTCTGAAAAAGCTCCATAAGAATAAAACCAGGCCCCACTTGTATAAAACATCTCAACTTGAGATTTCCTCAAGCCCAGATTTTCCTCAGCTAATATCTCTTTGAAAATATCTTGTATGAAAATTCCTCAAGGAATTTCAGGACATCCTAGCCGATGCCTTCCTCCTGTTCCTTGAGAAATTTTTATACAAGCCGTTTTTGAGGAGATATCAGCTGAGGAAAATCTCGACTTGAGGAAATCTCAAGTTGAGATGTTTTATACAAGTGGGGCCTGGTGTTCAGGAATAGTGGGCGTCTTCTGCTTCCTCGAGGAAACTTGTCAATGTAAATCTTGGTCAAGCCCAGTAACGTCACGTTAATATATGAAAATTAATAAATGCACTGTATTTACTATACTGAGATATAAGCGAAATATAACCACCGAACCCAAAGCTAGCGACAACAAAATCTTTCGGAAAGTTCCACCTGCATAGGGAGAGTCAGTGTTAATTTTAGTCCATCTCCAACATGCAGATATTCACAAAATACGAAATTTTGAACATTAAGGAGTCAGGTCCTTTCATAACACAAAAACGGTTGATACACATGTACTTCAAAAATAAATATTTCTTCTAAATGAAAAAAAAGTTACACATACACAAAATATGAATAATACATACAATATACATATATATGCCCTTTCTGCCGAAGCAAAACATACATAGCAAAATTTGTCTACATTGTGTATAATTGTTTCTACATAACTGAAACTGGAGAAAAAAAGTTTACATGTTTGCATAAATTTTACTTTTGATCAAATGATACCGTAAAATGATCAGATTTTGCGGGAAATTTCTTTTCGTTGATGTCGTTGGTACTGTTAATCCAAGCATGCATATATCCACGAAATGTTAAAAGAAGTATGATTAGATAATTATGTGGTCACATTGCCCATGACATTTATAGTCTTTGATTAGCAATGTATTTCAAAACGTTTACCAAGATCCCCTTTTTTACGTCATTTAATTGAGAAGTTTACTAACATTAAATGGCAATGTAATTAATCTAAAGGAGAATTACATTTCTGTAAGTATTATTGATCTACATCATTTAATTCATCTTAATACATCTAAATAACACTCTCCCAACTACAGTCAATCATGATTTAAGTAATCAGGGATAATCTTATTTTCCATACATGTACATTGTACAGTGCAAGTCTACTGAATGGTTACCCTTGTGTGTAATTCATAGGAATTGGTTTGAATTTACAAAGTTTAAATAAATCAATGACGTCACTAAAATCTTCAACAGAGGACTTCGGGTAAAACTGTCTCATTATCAAGTATAGAAATGTTCCGTGGTCTTAATTGTTCCTTAAACATGTTGTGTAACGCCAAATAAGTATATTTTCACCAGAAATATTCTGCTTTAAAGTTGTTTTTTTTCACGGTTTGAATTTCCCCCGCAGTCTCAGATGACCCGGATCTAAAAATCGAATGAATCCTTGCTCTTGTCTGTATATTGGGCCACACCCTTGTATAATAACGGTCCGTCTTTGTAAAGGAACAGCGCTGGCCACACAATAAAGTCAAAGTGTTTCCCAGAACGTGTGTAAGCCCGGAAGTGATCTTTGGTTGACTCGGCAACGATTGTCGCCATCATGAAGACAGGAGGATCTTGGAGACGCATTAACCAACACAGTTCCACACAGCTATGTAGGTAACGTTTGTAATATAGGTCATCCTTCAGCTTCTGGTTGTATTCTTTGTAGTACTCATTTTCTCGCATGTCGTTTTCCACTTCTTCCGTGACTGCCTATAATAACAACTTCATTTATCACCATCGCAATGATTTTTTTGACATGTAATAGGAACAAATGTCTTGCATTAAGTCATAACATTGTACTATACATAGTGATATTTTCGCCCCAGGATATCTTGACTTTTGTACCATTAAACAAGAATTGGCCTGATGTTCATTCCACCCTTTGAGGATTTTATATAAATGTGGTTATAAAAGTTTAACAAATCCCCCCACCCCCGCCCCCTCTACAATCTTCTTAAATTCGCCTTCCCTGTTCATAGACGAAAAAGGGCGAAAATAACTGGTATTTAAAGTGAGAATGACTGCATGCACTGGCGGCCAGTTAAACATGATTAAAATACATACACGTAATGCTTGGTGAAAAGCTTAATTCGTGAATATTTCTTTAAAAATGTTCACTACTACAGCTGCACAACCTCATGCGAGGATTTTGAATATATATATATATATCGTGAACGTGAAAAAACCGTACCTCAACAACAGTATCTAGACTCTTTTCTCCAGATGACATCTGTGTCTTCATAAAATCTTTGCATCTCTTCGCTGCGTCCGCAGAGGCCTACATATAACAGTAGTATATCATTTACGATGTCAAATGTTTACTGTTAAGTAATAATAATTACACAAAGTGTCGCTTACAGACGTGAAATTTATGAAGAAAAAGGTCATTGTCCGTTTTCATTAATTTCAATAAAACCAGGGAAACTTGAACCAGAAAGAAAGATAGAAAAGACCGTTTATACGTAATACAAGGTCAGTGTATTAAGATATAAGCTTGGCGATGGCGAAGGAAGACAAAAGTGGCAAGCCTCTTATATCCCGAGCAAAAATGCAGCTAATATTTTAAGACACTTGCCACGTATTATCCTGCAACACTGATTGAAAAATAGACTATTGAATGGCTTTGTAGTTCGATCGTTGTTTACCTGACATTGACGTTAAGCTGAATTTTGTCTGAAGGCGCACGCCAAAATAATTGCTCCGCGTAGAAAAGTAGTTTCAATCTTCAACCGATATGACAGCGAATTTATGAATTTTCGTGAATTAACATATTCATTTCAACATATAAAACCACCTGTTTCGACAGTCATTGTGTTAGAAAATATTATTTAAACGGAAATAAGATTACGTGGAGATTTCACTGAAGAGCAGGCTGGTTATATTATACAACATGAATACTCACATCTGACGATTTAACTACAACTTTGATCATTTTATCAAGGTCTTTTTTCGCTTTCTTCTGACACATCTGGTAACTGATCTGAAATATTCAAATACTTAATTG